CAAATATATATATATATATATATATATATATATATATATATATATATATATATATATATATATATATATATATATATATATATATATATATATATATATATATATATATATATATATATATATATATATATATATATATATATATATATATATATATATATATATATATATATATATATATATATATATATATATATATATATATATATATATATATATAGTGTTCAAGGGAGAGAGAAAAAAAAGATATTTACACACTTATTACTTCATTAATGCATTCAAGTTTTTTCTTTCATTAATTTAAATTTATTATTTGTATTCATATATTTGTTTCAATCAAATTTTATTTGCTTTTATTTCTAAGATGTTGGAAAATAAATATGAATAATAATTATTGAATTATTTTATGATTATATGTATTTAAAATAAAGCTATTGAAAACAAGAAAGAAGCCACTTAAATGATTTTGTTTTTCTAGATTTATTAGAGATGCGTGTTTGAGCAAAATATTTATATTTGATTTATTCTATTGGGTATTATGGAATAAAATGCTGTTGACAACACTTACTTGAAATTTGATGAAATGTCATCAATAGTTTAAAGAATAATATTAAATGACATTTAACTAAAATACATAACTATAAATTGTAAATCCAGAGAAACTAAGATTTTTCAATTGGACCCATATTTTTTGTTTTAAGTTTGGGTTTTATAAACTAACGTGTCTATTTAATTACCTAAAAAAATCAGTTTTCATTAATTAATTACTGTAACTGGATAACTTTAACAAAGGGTTACCTTCTAGTTTACTATACAACAACCACTTACTGAAAGAGGAAGAGAGAGAAACACAGTCCAAACACATGCGCTACAGGGGAATTTAATAAGCTAAATTGACGTTTTGAAATTAAGCTTTTCATGTTTGTGTAGGCTATACTAATGTGTCTATTTAATTATCTGCATAAAATCAGTTTAAATCAATTGATTCATGTAACAAAATCACCTTTTTAAAGTGCTACATCATAGTTTATTAGGTTATATACAACAACCACTGATTGAAAGAGAAAGAAAAACAGTTTTTTGTTAAGTTTTGACTACTTATAATAACTATGGACTTATTTTATATTTCCAGGGTTCCCAGAAAAAAAGTAGACATATTTGGGTAAATGAGTAAAATTTATGCTGAACACCACATTAACAAACCAAAAAGTGGTCTCATTGCATTTGCTTATTGGGAAAAATGTTAACAACAGTAAGAAAAGCCCGCAATTTTATATATTTTTTAATGATTAATGCTGTATTTTATGCATACATCTGCTTTTATACATTCATTTGTTTATTAATTTGCTTTTTGTGTGTGCGTTTTTAATATTGTTTTTGGCGCTAGAATCCTCGATTAATCGAGTTTGATTAATTTCCTTACTTTAATCGAGTTTGATTAATTTTGACCTCTGTTTATAGATCGAAACAGCTGATGTCTTATTGTCTCTTTAATTTTTATTTTTTTTATTGATGCTCGTCATTTATAGAGGTATAACATTATTGGTAAACTAAAAGAAATGACGGCAGTGTCAATGACTTTTAAGGGAATAGCCTATGCTAACCTACCCAGAACTTCATATTGGTGCAGATTTGTTCTAATATTACTTCAATTTCCAGCGATCAACTTCTTGATGTCAGTAAGGACATGTGATGGACATCGGTTATGTTTTATCGCGCATTTGGGTGAAACGCGTTTATATTTTATGAAACACATACAAATGACCTGAACCGGAAGCGCTACGAGGTTTTTTACCAAAAAACGGAAGTCTGCTATTGTAACCCCTATAGACGTGAAACTACAAACAAATATCATATATTTTACGTTCACGTTTCTTCCAATAGCATGAAGCGTTCATGACTTTCAACAAAATGAAAGAAAGTGAAGTTTTACGGTGGTCAGAGGAAAGAAAGATGGACGTCACTTTATTAGCCGCTAACGAGTTGACGAGACATTTCAATGCAATTAAATATTACGTTACATAGCCTATAGAGTTAAAAACGTACGTTCATAATAATAATATAAACATTCAAAAAGTGGAAACCACAGATAATTATCGCTGAGAATGCACAATAGCCTATCTATATTTGACAGATTAGCTGTTGTCTCTGTTTCTAGCCTCCAGGGGGCGCAATGGTTTAACAAACTGCTAGTTTAGGCTGTAGACTGAACTGCACAAAACGGCGAGCACAAATAATGAACTACGATAACACTTTATTTTAATGTCTAATTCACGGCATTAAACCATTAACTATAGGCTCTACTATTTTCTAATTAGCGGCTTATTAATAGTTAGCAAGATGGTAGGGTTTAGGAATTGGCTATGATTGGGGATGTAGAATAAAATTATACCCTAGCATAGGCACTCAAACACTAATATAAGATTAATCTCTTTATAAGTAACAAGCCAAGTTAATAGTGTAAATAGTGACTTAAACTAAAGTGTTACTTTATTTACTTTATCATAATTTTAATTGAAAAAAACTAGTTATACATGTTTCTAGCAACATCTGCACCTCTCATATGTTTCAAAACATACTTCAGGATATTAAGGGAGCAAATAATGTTACAGTAGTAAAATAAAAGCATCAACGAAATGAGATTTACTTTATGACATCCAGACTATAGATAGAGGACCATAAAAATGAACAATTATTTGATATAAAAAGTATTACTAAACTAAACTATGGCCTAAACGTAAATATCATTACAAATACAAAACGCTTAAATGCAAACCGCATTAGAAATCAATAATGGAAATCCTTTTAAAATGTCTACCATGATAAAAGTAAACGACATCCTTTAACTTGAAACATGACAACAAATATAGGCTTTAAAGATTTACATTTTAACCAGTCATTTCTGCTGTAAACCACACTCGTCAATCATAACTTCTAATATAGTTAATTAATTCTTCATTATCAATCTAAACTTAATATCTTTAATGGCATACTTTTATTTTAGATGACGGTTACTGTGAACTTTCCACTGCGAAAATCATCTCAGCATTCAATAAAAACCCAAGCTAGATTTCAGTTTCAAAAATGAACTAGATAAATACATTTTTCTTGAACTAATTAAGTGGAATACACAGTCTTTGATTGATTACTATTTTAAATGTAATTGTTATTAGCTTGAGTGTAATAATTCATGCCAAAATCATATCACAATTCTTTTACAAAATGTTAACTAGCCTTTTTTGATAAAAAAAAAACAACAAATAAATAGATATTAAAACATCAATTTGGCTACACCAGTGTCAGTTGATGGGTTCAATAAATGTCCATCATGTCTGCCGCTATAGGGACAGTCTATATGCTCGCCCACATACGCGCACGTACATACTTATAAATAGCTTTTAGCACAACAGACTGAAAAGACTTGTTCAGTTTGGTTTCTCTCTTTTTTTTTTTGCTCTGATCACCATGGCAACAGGAAGTAGAAGACAGACTTACAATCAATGTTGAGTCGGGTACAGAAAAGGTTTGGCGAAACTATAACACACATACATACATATATATATATATATACATACATATATATATATATATACATATATATATATATATATATATATATATATATATATATACACACACACTGAAAATAACTAGCTATATAATTTATGTGGCTCCACAGACCGGCATTAATACTATACATTGACTGTTTTATA